GAAGCCCTACTTATAGCTTTATAGCTACTTTTGTTTTTCTGCCTTTCTATCGCCAGGTCTTGTCGTGTTTCCAACAGTCCGCTTGGCTGTCAGTTCAAAATCATACGAACGTCATATAATCGATGTGCTTTAATAATTTGCGGTGAGATAACCACTGTAGTACTAGTATTGATATAACGCACACTTAAGAAACAGGAAGTTGGCCATTATCTTAAGCAATTGCGGATAATTATGTGCATCTAGAGCTTATGATATTAAGTGATAACGTTCAGTTCTCGGTTCTACTTTAGGCCTTTTTGAGTTTGTCACTAATTGTCCTAGCCTATCAAGTCTTTCTTGCAAATTCTTAACAATACTCATCTCCGCAGTTTAACCGACATAATACTAAGGTTAATACTCTGTGTTCGGACGGTATAAGCACCACAACCAATTGGAGATTTGTCTGCTCGAATCGTAGCTCACGTAGGGACGGGAGCTATTGCTAATGGGGGTGGTTCTCGTATCAAGGGACGTGAAAAATTTGGTCCGTGAAAAACTTGTCCGTGACAATTATGTCCGTTAAGGTAATATACACGTATTGTGTCGTATTGACATAGTGATTGAATACTGTCCGATATGTACCTATATCACCCACCAAATGCAATATGACTTTGAGCTATGAGTATGACTCTATGATAAATCAAATTTCTTGCACAACTCGGTCTGATTGTTGAGGAAAAGAAGAGGTCTGGTATATCCAGGGAAGCGGGTTTAGATTACAAATGTGATTATCTTAATTCTTAACCCCACTGATTAATCATTGAAATCAATAAAATGATTCGATCAGTTTGAAATTGATGCAGTTTCTGTGGAAATCGATAACTGACTTAAGGCGGCTTCAGCGGAAATCGATAAGGCTGTACTCATATTGTAATCAATTATGAAACTGAAATGTCGTGTGGTTAACGTTTTTCAGTTTATACACTATAATTATGTGTATAAAAAGAGTCTATTTTGCGCGCGCAACGCCAGTTATGTGTTATTGTTAATTAATTACAAATACAGGCATAGCAACCAGTTTTTGGTGCTTGACGACTGTTACACAGGTTTCCATCTGGTTACAATTTACTCTAATTCATCAATTTAGCGTACTAGTCTTCTGAGCGGATTAATCATCAATATAAGTGTTATTTTTATGAAACAAGCTTGAATGTTGATGAATTACCGAGTGATAAAATTCCGCAAGTTAAAACAAATAAAAACGGTTTTTGACTTGGCGCAGTTCATAATTTCCGTCTATGTCTGCCAATGTCCACCAATGTCCACCAATGTCTGCCAATGTCCGCCTAGCTATGTCCTGTCCTGTCCTTTTTCACAGTTTTTGGATTCTAATTCTACATGTCGAGACAAGCGAAGATAAAATTAAACGGACGCATTAGTATTACCTGACCGAGATTAAGTCTAAAAGCGCGGTCCGTGATTTCCGCGTTGCATACATGTTTCTTGCCAAAACAATTCGGTACGAAAATCTATATAATTTATGAATCATTATTTATTTTACCTTGTTAATTACTAGTAGTCAGTGTAATAAGCGCCAAGCGCGAGCACAGATCTTTTTTTCTCCGACTTCGATAAATTTGGTACCAAAAGTTGTCTAAAAATGTGAATAAAATAAATTCACCATGTAGCAATTTTCGCTAAATATGCTACACGGCGTTTGTTCGCTGCGCGTGCTTTTTCGCGCAAAATTTTAGTTTTTGGCCTATAACTTTCACATTTTATTTTTAAGCAATAAATTACCGGCCATTTTCGCGTTCGTCCTTTGTACATTTTTGCAATGCACAGGAAGCCCACATACAGCTTGACGTTATCGTGATACACGGTGAATTTTCATCATTCACAGTTAGAGGCAACCTTTGGTACCAAATTTATCAAAATCAGAGACAAAAAAGTCTGTGCCAACTCATGGAGCTTATTACATAGACTATGGGCTACCTGGGGACCTCAGGCCATCATGTTCATAAACTGTAAACATTAAACATGAATAGAGATTAGGCGGAAATGCGGAATGACAGGCTGTTTGCCGCCCAGTAATTAATACTGGGCGTCGCTCAGCCTGTCATTCCGCCGAATCTTTATTCGGTTATGTTTATGAATATTATAGCCTGGGCGGGGTCCCAGGTAACCTGTTAATTGATATAGTATTTGATTTTAGCATTTTAGTCCGTTTAGAGATTCAGAGATTGGTGGTATGTGGTAAACCAGCGTAGTATGGAGATCCAGGCCTTTCCTTATCTAGATTAGAATCTGGTTATCGTAATGAGAGGTTAATCACGTTAGACCACTTCAGTTCTATGTGCATGCCTCATACTGCAAACAGTACGAGGTAGCAATAATTGTACGAGGTATGATGAATATTTGAAACACACTGTTAAGAATATTAAATGATATTGGGTAATAGGTATCTAATTTACCTGATAAAGCGGCGTCGCATGCTATTGATAAAACGGAAGTACCACTGGCGATTCTGCACTCATGGTAAATGAACGGATAAATTCCGGTTAAGAAGGTAAAATTCCGGAAAATGTTAATCTGAAGTCGATTTTGTTGTAAAATATTCGTTTACATAATATCTTATTCCATTCATACATAGATAAAGATAAGGTCTGTCACTCAACAATTTGTGTTACGTTGTCTGATCGTTGGTTAATTTTACTTATCTAAATTATTTGTTGATCAATGCATTTCGGCCCATAGTATTTGTTGTTGTTAAGAGAGATGCCTAATTAAGTAGATTATTCTGAATTCTCCAACTTTTTAGGGGTTTCAATTCTGGACACAAAGTGAGTCATTTTGCATCTTTCAACAAATGCTATGTTGCTCATGAGTCTTTGGGACCTTTTAAGTTTTAGTAACCAGTCAATAGCCCATTTGTGAGTATTTTCATAGTTCGCTTGGCAAAAATTCGTTTTTCAGTTTTTTAGTTTTTTAGTTTATACAACCTTCTTAGGCGGAAATACCAAAAATCACGGAAATTATGAACTGTGTCAAGCCAAAAACTGTTTTAAGGCCATATTTCCGAAAATAAGCATTTTAATTTTTAAGGCATATATTATAGGTATTGCTTGATAAATTGTATATAAATATGGCTATTAGGCACATTTGTTGTATCGGAAAAATCTCTACGACCTTCCTGGGTCGAAATAAAAAATTCGAGTGACCGCGAAACCCTGAATTGAAAAATGGTGTGGTCGAAAACGCCCCTACTGCATTTATTCCAAAAATGCAATAGTGGCCAAATGTTTTAAGCATCGTCTAGAAAGGTGACAACCGTGGAGAAATCGCTTTTAGCACGAAAAGCTAAAGCCGTAGAACATACATATTACATAACACTGGAGCACAGTGTAATTTCCTCCAGTCTGCGCCGCGTACGTTTATATAGGCACGCGGCGCAGACTGGAGGAAATTACACTGTGTAAGCTCGATCCAGTGTAATGTAATATGTATGTACTAACATGTATGTACTACGCGAGTTTCCCTTTTGTCTCGGACCACGACTTAACGGGGATATAACTCTTTCCGGGAATATGCACTATAAAACTCGTGGACACTGAGAGCTGATAATTTGCAGATATTTCCCGCAAGGGAAGCAAGGGTATCATCAGCACAATCTCTCCGTTGAAACCCCAACCCCTTAATCTGATCTCAACCCTAACCCAATCCCTAATTACTGAATCATATGCTGAAACCCTAACCCTAACGAGAAATAAGACCAACTTCCTTATTCCGTGCACACTTTGAAACCATTTATTTATTTATCTACGATATTATGTTTTTTTGTTTGGTTGAATAACTTTCATTGGGATCCGACACATGTAATTTTGCAATGATCTTTCTAATTTCTAATTTCTAATTCCTATTAATTTCTAATTTCTAATTTCTAATTTCTAATTTCTAATTTCTAATTTCTAATTTCTTATTTCTAATTTCTAATTTCTAATTTCTAATTTCTAATTTCTAATTTCTAATTTCTAATGTCTAATTTCTAATTTCTAATTTCTAATTCCTATTAATTTCTAATTTCTAATTTCTAATTTCTAATTTCTAATTTCTAATTTCTAATTTCTTATTTCTAATTTCTAATTTCTAATTTCTAATTTCTAATTTCTAATGTCTAATTTCTAATTTCTAATTTCTAATTTCTAATTTCTATTATATGGTCATATCACGTGATCGAGACAGTTTTTAGACGATATCTCGCTAGGTGAGCATTTTAACCCTATGTCATGTAGGGTAATTACTAATTCGGAATCAGCGTTCGAAAATACATTGAACCAAATAGATTTCAACTGTCGGGGCCCTTTCAGAAAAATTTCGAAGATCGACTGTAGAGAGATTTAGCACGCTTGATATAGGCCTATGAAGGTACAATAGTTGTATAGAACATCATGATGTCCTCTAATAGTAAAATGACTGTTGCTTCTGGCTAACGGAACGCTATCAAATTTCATATTCGACTCAAAATTGCTCGATAAAAACTAAATTAAAATATATTATTCTGAATTGCAAAATTTATTTTGATGAATATCTTTCTCAAAATCTCATCCAGGCGAAGTTCTGTTGTCGAACTTTAGTACGTGCCGGCAAAATCTCTAAAACGTGTGTATGTAGAGCAGAACGCGCAGTTTTGCTAGTACTGTAGTTAAGTTTTTCAAAATTGTCCCACATTCAAACGACGATTTGGCGCCCCCAAAAGGGTAAATCGGTCAAAATGGCGACTCGGTCTTACTCACCAGCTCCTTATATATTATATACGATTCCAATTCATAACTATAAAGTTAATCGGCCTTTTTAAATGTATTCGTCATACATACTTACTTCATTATTTCAACATTTCTATTGAATGATAGGTTCAGAACGCTTATTCAATAATCAGACCATAAAGATAAAGCAATAATAACTTACTATGCAGTTTCCAAGCAGACTGAAGGTATTAAAAGGCTCAGTGCTCACCGTCTCACCTGATCTCAGAAGATTTGAAAGTTTGGTTGATCTTTATTCTTTGCTGCAGACATGTCCCATTTATGTTCAGGGTGGGAAGTACAGCTGGCGTCCAGAGAAGACTCTCATGACATCTTCAACCTAATGAATGTAAGTTTTATAGCTAGGTCAAGTCAGACGTTAACCAATGTAACTGTAATATAAATATGCTAATATGTTAATTTATAAATGTATCACCATATATTCATAGTAATATTATAGTACCCATTCGCAGCAAAAGATTAATTTGTCATGCCCCATGAGTCTCAGACAACTGTGTGGAACATTTTTTGATAATTTAATAACTTTGATTCAGAGGTTTGGAGACGAATTGGGGTACTCAGTGTCAGTAACAGAGAAAGAATTCACCGAAGCTGGCTGGCCAAGTGACCTTAAAAACAGGTCTTCCTTCGAGGTCTACAAGGTTTCCAGCAACAAGAATGGTACAGGTAACCGCAACTCATATATATATTTGATCATATGTCAGTGTGTGGAAGTGTGGTTTGATTTCCATGAGTGAATATACATTGTGGTCTTCACAAAGAAAAGCATTTCTTTCCATTGTTTTTATGTTTTTTATGTAGTTTTGATGAATGTTAATGAAAAAGAAGTTAAAAAATTTCACAATATGCTGATCAGGTATTTTGGCGTACGGTTTGACATGCCGAACATTTGGCTGGAGTGGTCTGGTCCTGAGACTTGAAGATTTGTACGTAGTGCCAGAATACAGAGGACAAGGTGTTGGCAGGGCTGTACTGATGCACTTAGCAAAGGTTATTAATTTATTAAGTTAGGAACTTTCAACAAATATGTGTCAGTTTGACGGTTATTGGAAGTGAATAGTCTGCCAGAAAGTTCGATGCTGCAGAAAGGGCCGTAGTTTTAATAAACCATGAAACTGCTGGAACATTCTCTGCCGAACGTGACTTAGATTAATTGTTCCAGCAATTATAACTGTCGTAAGTTGTTATCGTCGGAGCTTTTCCGGTTTTTAATCTGCTAAGCGGTCTACATTAAACACTCTCCTATTGCCTGATTACTGTTTCAATAATAACTTTATATGTTTATGAGGTATGTTACTTTGTTGCAAACACTAGAGGGTCTCTGTTAGTGATCTATAAAACACTGTTTGTAAATGTATCACTAGTCAATATGACATCCCACAAAACTTATTTCTGACAGTGACTTTTCTTTCACAGTTGAGCGTAGGAGCGGGGATATCTCGACTGGAATTAAACTCAGCTACCGGAGCAAAAAAATTCTACCTCGAGCTGGGTGGAAGACATCAGTCAGACTTGACTATAATGCAGTTCAGTAGGGATTCCATCGCGAGTCTTGCCGGGATCACCAACGGCAACTAATCTTCTACTAATTCTTCAGACTAATTGATATTTGTTATGGGCTGGATATTTAATCTATCGATTCCAAAGTTTAGGGTCGCCAATTTTCTATGATATTTGTAAATTGAATCATAATTGCAGGGTTCAGACAGTCGTAGGTTTACACAATAAATTTGCTAAGTCAAGTCTGCACAATTTTTTAATCAGTTAAATTGGACATAATACTTTTTGAACTTTGACACCAATTCCCTTCCAACTAAGAACAATTAATTGCTTTCTCTGCAATATGAAAGCATTTTCAATGATAGCTAACCCTAATTGATATATTAGGCAAGTCTTATACCCATTTCATAATGTCCAGACGGTTTAATTCTATGGGAAATTCGGTCTTCAGACTTCCGGTAGGGACGTTGCTAGTGTTTGTTATTGTGGTGAATAACTTGGCCAAATATTTGCCCAATTTCTTGTACACTTCTCACTGTCTGCTGCTTTGTTATTTGAATATAAGATTTATGAAATATTTGGCATTTGCCTAATTCTATTGTTGACAAGGGAATGGTTAGCTAAGTTACTTTTCCAGGCCCATATGGTCTCAAGACTTATAAACCAGTCTATTTTATACTGACCTACCTGCCCATCCCAGCTAAACCTGTTTACACATAATATTATAATATTCTCTATTCTTCGATAAAAAACAAAATACCTATATATCTCAATATCTGGTATTCCACAAAGTATATTTTTCCTCACAAATATTCATGTGCACTATTTTGTGTCTTTGAGAATCCCTCTAACATGAGTGTGAAAGCTCCACACCAAACCTTCACCCTCAGTTCCCCAACATTTTGCGTCAGAAACTGCACTTTGACGTGTGACAATTTCACATATTACAGTCTTACATATTCATGATATTGAGCAACACACACACGTGGCCGCTACCCACCAATACTAATATCTCACATACTCATTCACTGCAAGCAGCTACTGAACAGGGGAACACACGTTCAAATACTTACTAAGGTTGCTCAACATGTTGATGCTGTGAATCTGCACACCATATCCAAGCTCACTCAGTTTGATGTGTTTAGTGGTATAGCTTGGTAAACATTATATATTGGTATCACGTGGTGTGGACTGCCTGCGGAGGAGAACAGATTGCTTGCGGAGTACGGGTGATCACTGCTACCACCCTGGTGATATAATGCTTGTTAGCATTATGTGTTGTGATGGCACAGCTTGTCTGTTAACTATCTCTAATTATTCATATATTGCACCTGTGAGCGGGTCCCGACTTGTACGACTCATTATATAGGTATGACACTTAGTCTGTATTCTCGTAGCTGTGTGAGAGCGCTTGTCTGCATTATGCGAGTACACTTTAAGTTGCTTGTGCTGTGTCGTGATCCCCCTCATTATTCTAATATTGGATAATAATTAATTTGACTTTTTGGGGTTTTTTATAGGATCTAATCCTGTCGTTGTTTTAGATTTTACATAAAAGATGACACGAAAATTGCAAACAAAAGCGTGCTATTATATCGAGCAAGTAGGTTGCCATTATGATGCAGTATACACTGCCACATATTAATATCCCATGGATCTGCCTTTATGTATTCAATACAATCGTGTCACGTCCCTTTGTCCTCTGGGCAGCTAGCTAAGTACACTGTGTACCCTGCAAGCAATCGGTTTCCAGGGTGTCGTAGCTATAGCTGCCTACAGATGGCATTGTAAGATAAGGTTATTACACACACGCATCATGGTGGTGATCCAATGTTAGCTAATAGTAATACTCGACCACACCACACTAGTTGATATATAGAGAGTGGACATAGCTCATCGGGGGGGGGGGGGGGTGCAATATTTTATTGTTACTAACAATTTTTGACCATCTTTTAGGATCGTTTTTAGTGCTCGTAAGACGATTTAAATTAAACTTGTTAACTTATTGACTTCGAATATTCTATTTCTAGGACTAAGACTAATTATTAACAATTGCACCCCCCCCCCCCGACCAGATGAATTATAGCCTTCCTTTGTGTGCATCTCTTGACCTGGACACCTCGTTTTGTGTACATATCTTTACTTGTCAGCGATCGTATTTGTTTAATGTTTACATATATATATATCATTCGTTTCTCGGTTTACATTATCTAACATTTAATGTTTAACATTGTGATATGACATTAACATTCCTGGATAACGAATTAAAATACTTTTCAAGAAATGATAATACTTAAAACATTTCTTAAGAAATATTTTAATTCTTTATCCAATAATGTCAACGTTAGAACACAACTGCATAGCTTTGTATATTATTTCCGATCAGTCAAATATTGTTAGGATTAGTAATTAGTTATAATGAGACCCCAAAGCCATACAGATAATTCTGGGAACTATTCCTTGCATAATATAACAGTATAATTGCTACCCACTATAATGTTATAATCGTTAAATTGCTCTTATCTAATATATTTAATGATCGTGAGATACTACATGGCTTTTAGTTCAATTCTTTAGCCCTCATTTCACTAGAATGCTTTAAGATTCTTTCGTTAACTCTCTTTGTTTGTTCAATAAGCCATTAAGATATTCAGAAATAATAGTTTTTCCCCCTGTCCGGGTGTGTCCGAATTTTCAAAACGACCCCTCCCCCGGACGTCTGGATTTCTAGCTACTTTTAAGAGTACAAATAAAATGTGTAGTTACTTAAAATAGACAGTATAATACATTTAGTGTCGAACAAGTTTAGCACAGTTACATTTAAGTACATTTAAGTACTCGTTCAAAATACAGGGATCTAAACTTACAGAGTAATCAGTGTCAAAGAGCTGAAATAAATAGGACTTTTTCGGTAATTCTGCCAAAATTTCCGGGCGTCCGGATTTTCAGAAACCAACCACCCTCCCCTTGTCCGGATTAGTCCCAAATTCCAAACCCACCCCCTCCCTATTTTCCGGACGTCCTAAGTAGATGGCCCCTTACTGAGATCACTACAACAAATCCGCTGTCTATTGCTTTAGCATAGGATAAATATTTTAAGTTTTTTTTTCAATCATTTTCAGGTTCATTCTGTGGAGTTTGCTGTTCATTTCGTAAACGATGGTCAATAGGTAGGATTACAGCTTATACAAAGGACCAAACCTATTACCTAACAATTATCGTCATTTAGACAGTAGACTTTATAGTGACCTCAAGTAAGGAATATATAATATCGACCAAATGTGGAGGCTTCGGCCTATTTTGAATTTTCATAGGCCTGCCGTATCCTACCTAATTATATAAAGAGTAGAGTATGATAGTAGCTATTTATGATGAAATCTATATAGTTTTATTTAACCTAATATGTAATAGAGGAGTAATCGATCTAATAGCATAGCTAGGCCAGTCCGTTAACTATGCGGTTTAAATCCGTTAAAGCCACTGCCTGCCCAGCTAGCGAGGCGCCTATCGTTTTCTTAATCGACACTCTAGCTTGCTGCCCAGGGCTTTACTTGCTGCTGCTAGTCGATCAGGCTACTATGTTGCCTTACAATGCACTCTAGTTCTGGCTCATTTCCAACTCGATACTGCCTTTATTGTGCAATGCGGGAGGTAATAAAGTTCATGTAGGTGCTGCATTGATAATCAGCTGATATGAACATTGTGTCGTCAACAGTGCAGGTACCATTAACAATAGTATAGGTTCTGAGTATTTGTATTAAGGTATTACTATTAGAGGGAGAGGGCCATTATTCGCTATTCTTAATCAGCCTATAGTAAGCTTTACAACAGGTCAGTGATTAGCTACTTCTGGCACTAAATAAAGGAATCTTCATTACAGCCAAAAACTTATAGCTATATTTGGACTTGGACTGGGCAGTGGCCAGTGCACGATATCATTTATTATACAATTTAAACTCCAGTCCAGTTGCACTTCAAATCACGTATAATATAACTGTCGCTATATCTTGACTATTCAGCAGATTAACATTAACTCTGGTTTCCGCGACTTGTTCTCCGTGTTTTTGGTATAGTCTATTAAGCCTATACAATGGGAGGACACCATGTTAACCCGCTCTAAGCTGTTGACCATTAAGAAACGTTTAGCGCCTGGAGCGTAGTATACTCCATGAATATGCATTATCCACTGCTTGGGAGAGAGTTTCAAGCTGCCATTAGCCTATATTCCATTGTTTACTGCATACAGCTTTGATTTGTTCGGCAGCCAAAGTACACTCACACACTGACAAAGTTAGATTTCCAGTAAGACAACATACCACCTTACATACCATACATACCACCTTACATACCATTAAGTGCTCCAAATAATCACAGATTAACATCGGATGCAGTTGGTAAATCGTGGTTTCTATGACTCAGTAATTGTATTAAAACAGACTTAATTAACTGTAACAATCGTGTAATTCTCCCAGGAAATGAGCCGAAGATAAATGGTTTAAAACGCTGCCATATCGAGCTAATTACGGCTCATAATTGGGTTCTAGACCATCATTTACAGCGAATTAACAGAGTGGCACTTACCCGGTTTTCTCTCTATCCTACTCCAAGACAGTTGTGTACAGTAGTTCGAACATACAGCGTATCATATTGTTTCGCACGGATCTACCTGAATATCCTATTGTTTTCAGACAATAGTATCGTACTCAAACAATTGACGCGTACTACTCCTTCATAAAGATATTTACTACTGAATCCGACATAATCACAGCCTCCTCTGATAGATACTCATTTGTTCTGCTTGCATTCGTTTGTATCACAGTTCATCTGCTTGTTCACTGTTTTAAGAACAGTTCAGCACTCAGCGGTTAACAAGGAATTTACCATTCCTAACATGCTGCTCCGACTGCTATCCCTCCTCAGCCTCTCCCTGCTGGGTCTAGCGGTTATTGATAACAGAAAACCTGATGCCAATTACGTGATCCCGATCAGCAAGGACCAAAGTGCGGAAGTGTACTGTGTTTCATACTTTGCTAAGACGATAATTCAGGAAGTGATCAAACCAAATGTAACGAAGCTGAATTGTCAGAAATGCGAGTTGAGTCACGTGAGGTACAGGTGCTGCAGGGTCATCAGGTGGGAGGACATAGAGGAACCCCTCACCCTCCGCTGTACTTCTGTGGGGGACAAGGCCGATAAGAATATTCCCCGGATCGACGTGTCCGTCGTTCGGAAGAGCAGTAAGAAAGAGGGTAAAGAATTGGCCGATACAGAGGATTCGACAAGGATCACTGCCGAGAGCTCGACAGTGTACTACTGCCACGACCGCTCTGATGTCACAGAACTCACAGCTGGGTCTCACATTGGACTCGGTTGGAAGAGTCAGAGCATCACCTACAACCCGGAGCTGCCAACAGATGCCACCCCTGAGTCATCGTATACTGAGCGGGCTAAGCAGTACGACCAAGTGATCGACAGCAACGATAAAGGCTCAGTGCTCACCGTCTCACCTGATCTCAGAAGATTTGAAAGTTTGGTTGATCTTTATTCTTTGCTGCAGACATGTCCCATTTATGTTCAGGGTGGGAAGTACAGCTGGCGTCCAGAGAAGACTCTCATGACATCTTCAACCTAATGAATGTAAGTTTTATAGCTAGGTCAAGTCAGACGTTAACCAATGTAACTGTAATATAAATATGCTAATATGTTAATTTATAAATGTATCACCATATATTCATAGTAATATTATAGTACCCATTCGCAGCAAAAGATTAATTTGTCATGCCCCATGAGTCTCAGACAACTGTGTGGAACATTTTTTGATAATTTAATAACTTTGATTCAGAGGTTTGGAGACGAATTGGGGTACTCAGTGTCAGTAACAGAGAAAGAATTCACCGAAGCTGGCTGGCCAAGTGACCTTAAAAACAAGTCTTCCTTCGAGGTCTACAAGGTTTCCAGCAACAAGAATGGTACAGGTAACCGCAACTCATATATATATTTGATCATATGTCAGTGTGTGGAAGTGTGGTTTGATTTCCATGAGTGAATATACATTGTGGTCTTCACAAAGAAAAGCATTTCTTTCCATTGTTTTTATGTTTTTTATGTAGTTTTGATGAATGTTAATGAAAAAGAAGTTAACAAATTTCACAATATGCTGATCAGGTATTTTGGCGTACGGTTTGACATGCCGAACATTTGGCTGGAGTGGTCTGGTCCTGAGACTTGAAGATTTGTACGTAGTGCCAGAATACAGAGGACAAGGTGTTGGCAGGGCTGTACTGATGCACTTAGCAAAGGTTATTAATTTATTAAGTTAGGAACTTTCAACAAATATGTGTCAGTTTGACGGTTATTGGAAGTGAATAGTCTGCCAGAAAGTTCGATGCTGCAGAAAGGGCCGTAGTTTTAATAAACCATGAAACTGCTGGAACATTCTCTGCCGAACGTGACTTAGATTAATTGTTCCAGCAATTATAACTGTCGTAAGTTGTTATCGTCGGAGCTTTTCCGGTTTTTAATCTGCTAAGCGGTCTACATTAAACACTCTCCTATTGCCTAATTACTGTTTCAATAATAACTTTATATGTTTATGAGGTATGTTACTTTGTTGCAAACACTAGAGGGTCTCTGTTAGTGATCTATAAAACACTGTTTGTAAATGTATCACTAGTCATGACATCCCACAAAACTTATTTCTGACAGTGACTTTTCTTTCACAGTTGAGCGTTGGAGCGGGGATATCTCGACTAGAACTGAACTCAGCTACCGGAGCAAAAAAATTCTACCTCGAGCTGGGTGGAAGACATCAGTCAGACTTGACTATAATGCAGTTCAGTAGGGATTCCATCGCGAGTCTTGCCGGGATCACCAACGGCAACTAATCTTCTACTAATTCTTCAGACTAATTGATATTTGTTATGGGCTGGATATTTAATCTATCGATTCCAAAGTTTAGGGTCGCCGATTTTCTATGATATTTGTAAATTGAATCATAATTGTAGGGTTCAGACAGTCGTAGGTTTACACAACAAATTTGCTAAGTCAAGTCTGCACAATTTTTTAATCAGTTAAATTGGACATATAATATACTTTTTGAACTTTGACACCAATTCCCTTCCAACTAAGAACAATTAATTGCTTTCTCTGCAATATGAAAGCATTTTCAATAATAGCTAACCCTAATTGATATATTAGGCAAGTCTTATACCCATTTCATAATGTCCAGACGGTTTAATTCTATGGGAAATTCGGTCTTCAGACTTCCGGTAGGGACGTTGCTAGTGTTTGTTATTGTGGTGAATAACTTGGCCAAATATTTGCCCAATTTCTTGTACACTTCTCACTGTCTGCTGCTTTGTTATTTGAATATAAGATTTATGAAATATTTGGCATTTGTCTAATTCTATTGTTGACAAGGGAATGGTTAGCTAAGTTACTTTTCCAGGCCCATATGGTCTCAAGACTTATAAACCAGTCTATTTTATACTGACCTACTTGCCCATCCCAGCTAAACCTGTTTACACATAATACTATAATATACTCTATTCTTCGATAAAAAACAAAATACCTACATCTGGTGTTCCACAAAGTACTTTTCCTCACAAATATTCATGTGCACTATTTTGTGTCTTTGAGAATCCCTCTAACATGAGTGTGAAAGCTCCACACCAAACCTTCACCCTCAGTTCCCCAACATTTTGCGTCAGAATCTGCACTTTGACGTGTGACAATTTCACATATTACAGTCTTACATATTCATGATATAGAGCAACACACACACGTGGCCGCTACCCACCAATACTAATATCTCACATACTCATTCACTGCAAGCAGCTACTGAACAGGGGAACACATCACACGTTCCAATACTTACTAAGCTTGCTCAACATGTTGATGCTGTGAATCTGCACACCATATCCCAACTCACTCAGTTTGATATGTTTAGTGGTATAGCTTGGTAAACATTATATATTGGTATCACGTGGTGTGGACTGCCTGCGGAGGAGTACAGATTGCTTGCGGAGTACGGGTGATCACTGCTACCACCCTGATGATATAATGATTGTTAGCATTATGTGTTGTGATGGCACAGCTTGTCTGTTAACTATCTCTAATTATTCATATATTGCACCTGTGAGCGGGTCCCGACTTGTACGACTCATTATATAGGTATGACACTTAGTCTGTATTCTCGTCTGTGTGAGAGCGCTTGTCTGCATTATACGCGGAGTACACTTTAAGTTGCTTGTGCTGTGTCGTGATCCCCCTCATTATTCTAATATTGGATAATAATTAATTTGACTTTTTGGGGTTTTTTATAGGATCTAATCCTGTCGTTGTTTTAGATTTTACATAAAAGATGACACGAAAATTGCAAACAAAAGCGTGCTATTATATCGAGCAAGTAGGTTGCCATTATACTGCAGTATACACTGCCACATATTAATATCCCATGGATCTGCCTTTATGTATTCAATACAATCGTGTCACGTCCCTTTGTCCTCTGGGCAGCTAGCTAAGTACACTGTCACTGTGTACCCTGCAAGCAATCGGTTTCCAGGGTGTCGTAGCTATAGCTGCCTACAGATGGCATTGTAAGATAAGGTTATTACACACACGCATCATGGTGGTGATCCAATGTTAGCTAATAGTAATACTCGACCACACCACACTAGTTGATATATAGAGAGTGGACATAGCTCATCGGGGGGGGGGGGGGGTGCAATATTTTATTGTTACTAACAATTTTTGACCATCTTTTAGGATCGTTTTTAGTGCTCGTAAGACGATTTAAATTAAACTTGTTAACTTATATTGACTTAGAATATTCTATTTCTAGGACTATGACTAATTATTAACAATTGCACACCCCCCCTCCCGACCAGATGAATTATAGCCTTCCTTTGTGTGCATCTCTTGACCTGGACACCTCGTTTTGTGTACATATCTTTACTTGTCGGCGATCGTATTTGTTTAATGTTTACATATCATTCGTTTCTCGGTTTAAATAATCTAACATTTAATGTCTAACATTGTGATATGACATTCCTGGATAACGAATTAAAATACTTTTCAAGAAATGATAATACTTAAAACATTTCTTAAGAAATATTTTAATTCTTTATCCAATAATGTCAACGTTAGAACACAACTGCATAGCTTTGTATATTATTTCCGATCAGTCAAATATTGTTAGGATTAGTAATTAGTTATAATGAGACCCCAAAGCCATACAGATAATTCTGGGAACTATTCCTTGCATAATATAACAGTATAATTGCTACCCACTATAATGTTATAATCGTTAAATTGCTCTTATCTAATATATTTAATGATCGTGAGATACTACATGGCTTTTAGTTCAATTCTTTAGCCCTCATTTCACTAGAATGCTTTAAGATTCTTTCGTTAACTCTCTTTGTTTGTTCAATAAGCCATTAAGATATTCAGAAATAATAGTTTTTCCCCCTGTCCAGTGTCCGGGTGTGTCCGAATTTTCAAAACGACCCCTCCCCCGGACGTCTGAGTTTCTAGCTACTTTTAAGAGTACAAATAAAATGTGTAGTTACTTAAAATAGACAGTATAATACATTTAGTGTCGAACAAGTTTAGCACAGTTACATTTAAGTACATTTAAGTACTCGTTCAAAATACAGGGATCTAAACTTACAGAGTAATCAGTGTCAAAGAGCTGAAATAAATAGGACTTTTTCGGTAATTCTGCCAAAATTTCCGGGCGTCCGGATTTTCAGAAACCAACCACCCTCCCCTTGTCCGGATTAGTCCCAAATTCCGAACCCACCCCCTCCCTATTTTCCGGACGTCCTAAGTAGATGGCCCCTTACTGAGATCACTACAACAAATCCGCTGTCTATTGCTTTAGCATAGGATAAATATTTTAAGTTTTTTTTTCAATCATTTTCAGGTTCATTCTGTGGAGTGTGCTGTTCATTTCGTAAACGATGGTCAATAGGTAGGATTACAGCTTATACAAAGGACCAAACCTACTGCCTAACAATTATCGTCATTTAGACAGTAGACTTTATAGTGACCTCAAGTAAGGAATATATAATATCGACCAAATGTGGAGGCTTCGGCCTATTTTGAATTTTCATAGGCCTGCCGTATCCTACCTAATTATATAAAGAGTAGAGTATGATAGTAGCTATTTATGATGAAATCTATATAGTTTTATTTAACCTAATATGTAATAGAGGAGTAATCGATCTAATAGCATAGCTAGGCCAGTCCGTTAACTATGCGGTTTAAATCCGTTAAAGCCACTGCCTGCCCAGCTAGCGAGGCGCCTATCGTTTTCTTAATCGACACTCTAGCTTGCTGCCCAGGGCTTTACTTGCTGCTGCTAGTCGATCAGGCTACTATGTTGCCTTACAATGCACTCTAGTTCTGGCTCATTTCCAACTCGATACTGCCTTTATTGTGCAATGCGGGAGGTAATAAAGTTCATGTAGGTGCTGCATTGATAATCAGCTGATATGCAAAATTGGTGTCGTCAACAATATTAACAATAGTATAGGTTCTGAGTATTACTATTTAGAGCTGAGGGAGAGGGCCATTATTCGCTATTCTTAATCAGCCTATAGCAAGCTTTACAACAAGTCAGTGATACTAGTTAGCTACTTCTGGCACTAAATAAAGAAAATCTTGATTACAACCATATACTTTTTGCTATATTTGGACTTCGACTGGGCAGTGGCCAGTGCACGATATCATTTATTATACAATTTAAACTCCAGTCCAGTTGCACTTCAAATCACGTATAATATAACTGTCGCTATATCTGGACTATTCAGTAGATTAACATTAACTCTGGTTTCCGCGAGACCTGTTCTCCGTGTTTTTGGTATAGTTTATTAAGCCTATACAATGGGAGGACACCATGTTAACCCGCTCTAAGCTGTTGACCATTAAGAAACGTTTAGCGCCTCGAGCGAACTATACTCCATGAATATGCATTATCCACTGCTTGGGAGAGTTTCAAGCTGCCATTAGCTTATATTCCATTGTTTACTGCATACAGCTTTGATTAGTTCAGCAGCCACAGTACACTCACACACTGACAAAGTTAGATTTTTAGTAAGACATCATACCACCTTACATACCATACATACCACCTTACATACCATACATACCACCTGCACCAAATAATCACAGATGTAACATCGGATGCAGTTGGTAAATCGTGGTTTCTATGACTCAGTAATTGTATTAAAACAGACTTAATTAACTGTAACAATCGTGTAATTCTCCCAGGAAATGAGCCGAAGATAAATGGTTTAAAACGCTGCCATATCGAGCTAATTACGGCTCATAATTGGGTTCTAGACCATCATTTACAGCGAATTAACAGAGTGGCACTTACCCGGTTTTCTCTCTATCCTACTCCAAGAAGCTCAGTTGTGTACAGTAGTTCGAACATACAGCGTATCATATTGTTTCGCACGGATCTATCTAAATATCCTATTGTTTTCAGACAATAGTATCGTACTCAAACAATTGACGCGTACTACTCCTTCATAAAGATATTTACTACTGAATCCGACATAATCACAGCCTCCTCTGATAGATACTCATTTGTTCTGCTTGCATTCGTTTGTATCACAGTTCATCTGCTTGTTCACTGTTTTAAGAACAGTTCAGCACTCAGCGGTTAACAAGGAATTTACCATTCCTAACATGCTATTCCGACTGCTATCCCTCCTCAGCCTCTCCCTGCTGGGTCTAGCGGTTATTGATAACAGAAAACCTGATGCCAATTACGTGATCCCGATCAGCAAGGACCAGAGTGCGGAAGTGTACTGTGTTTCATACTTTGCTAAGACGATAATTCAGGAAGTGATCAAACCAAATGTAACGAAGCTGAATTGTCAGAAATGCGAGTTGAGTCACGTGAGGTACAGGTGCTGCAGGGTCATCAGGTGGGAGGACATAGAGGAACCCCTCAC